AAATACTATAAACATTTTTAATATAGTCAAATATATTGATCTTGGCCATCTCTTATGGCCTTGGGGTTTGTTGTTACAGTTTTAAAAGCTTTCCTTAAGAGAGATTTAAAATGTTTTAAGAATTGTGTTTGATGTTTCCGTTTGATGTTTTGTGGCCCTTTTGTGTTTATAAAGAATTTAATTCTCTTAATATATAACACTAATTATAAGTTAGGCCAACTTGAATTCCAGTTTGTGCACTTGCTAAAATGACCTAAACCATGCTACTTCCCTTCTCTGAGCTTTAGGTTCCTTGCCTAGTCTTTGCTGAGTTCCACTACAAAAGATAATACCTGGCACATGATAGATTCTCAGTGTTAGTTCCTTCTCCTCCTTCTTCCCTGAAGTCCTCTACCAAGAAATAATTTGTTAAATTAACTTGCATTATGCATGCACTAAAAGTAATAAAATAGTTTCTTTTCAAAACCATTCTATAATTTAAATCATAGACAATTTCTTCTTTCTTAAGCTAGCCTGAACTAATAACTGATCACTATATATTGATTTTAATTGTTGGTATTAAAAAATAATGTGGTCAGTACAATGCATCACCTTTTTGGGAGGATGGAATAAATATTTTCGAAAACAGTAAAGAATGATTTTCTAGACATTGAGTTACTTTCTTTAAGAACTCCTAAATTCTATACTTAGAAACCTTATTGAAACCCTTCAATATAAAAATAATTATTTAATGAAGTCAAATTTGTCTTCTTTTATTAGCCTAAATTTTTATGTATATCACATTTTCTGAAAGGCTACATTTATAGGGAGAATAATGCATTTTAAAATCATTAAAATGGGTTTTAAAAAATAAATTGTTTTTATCTTTCACTTTCATGATTATATTACCTCTATTTCCATGCATTTTTCTTGGCTCATTCCTTAACAGTTGTCCCTTAATATTTAGGGCATGAGGAAAAGGTACAATTTTCAAAATGCCTTCCGTTTGAATACAATTCAATGTCACTACTCTAAGAATTTCAGTAATACTTGAGTGCCTTTGCTCTATTAGGCAATTTAGAATATACCAGACCTTGCTCTGGACTTCAAGATTTTTGAAGTTCAAAGCAGATGTGTGTGGAACAAAAAACATCTGGTGAAGAAAACTTGCTTCATTGTGTGACGCTGTTTTCCTGCACTCTTCAGTGGAGCGTCTGTTGAGCAGGTTGGCAGGTTTGATAATTAATTAATGATGAGGGAATGAGCCGTGTATCTGAGGAACTCCATTTTGCCCCTTACTGCTTCTTTCTTCCCTACATGTCTGGCAGAGCCTTCAGAGTCTCGATCACTGATCCCACAGTTGTATCTCAACTCAAACACTTGTCTTGAGGCTTAATTAGCTCAGTGATATAAACAGATGGATGGCCGGGGAGAGAGAGTTTAGCATTGAGCAGTGTAGTTTCATTATCAGAGAATTTTGAAATTTTTGCTGAAGTACATCAAAACTTTTTAAATGCCTAAAAAATTTCAGAATTTTGAAGGTATGTACTTGAATGTGACAGAGTTTTGTGTGTCTCCCTAAATGTTTGAATTTTTCTTTTTGTAAATTTTTATAGATATAATTTCACACTTACAGAAAAAGTTGCAAGAATAGTACAAGGGATACCGTGATTCCTTTTCCCAGATTCACCTACTGTTTTCATTTTCTTCCATTTGTTTTTACATCTTCCCTCCCCCACCACACACACACTTAAACATGTGCATTTTTCCCCCTGAACTATTTGAGAGCAAGGTGGAGACATCATGCTCCTTTACTCCTAATGCTTTGGTGTGTATTTCTTACGGACAAGGCCATTCTTCTAAATAATCACCTTATAGTTATCAAAATCATAACATTTAATAGTGATACAACACTACTGTCTAACCTGTAGTCCCTTTTCAAACTTTATCAATTGTCTCAATAATGTCCCTTATAACATTTTCACTCACCCCCCAGTCTAGGATATAATCCATGGTAACACACTATATTTAGTTGTCATTTCTCCTTTAAATAGGAAGTTTTAAAGGAGTTTTTTGTGTTTTTTGACTTTGACATTTTTGAAGAGTTCAAAAGAGTTATATATTTAGCAGAGTATTGCTATATCAGGTTTGTGTGGCATTTCCTTATTCAATTCGGGTTATGCATTTTTGTCAGGAACACCACAGAAGTGTTGCGTCCTAAGGTATTTTATCAACAGGCACGTGGTATTGATTTGTGCCTTATTCGGTGATGTTAGCTTTGCTTATTTGGTTAAGTTGGAGTCCATCAAGTGTTTCCACAGTGAACTTACAGTTTCTCCCTTTATATTTAATAAGAATTTTTTTGAGAGATACTTTGAAATTATGTAAATAACCTGTCCCTCTTCAAATTCTCACCTACTAGTTTTAGCAACCATGATGA